GGGCAATCTAAACTGGGAGTGGTAATTTATACCTGTAATCCTAGCACCTGCCTCAAGAAACAAAAACGAAGCAATCGAGCAAAATGGCTGAGACGATAGGATCTCAAACTAGGTCCGCTCTATGCAACACCAAAGAGCTATGCAAATCGAAACGAATTGCTTAACCTCTCTGTGCCTATAAAAAGGGATACTAATATAGATTATGTAAAAAAAATGAGCATTAAAGGACTTCATGTATCTGGGGATTAGCTCAAGGGTGGAAGAAGGAAGAGGGTAGAGAAGGAGGGAGGGAAGGAGGGAGGGAGGAAGAGAGAAGGCTGACTGATCAGGAAGGAGGAGGAAGAAAGGGAACAGGGAGGGGGTGGCACAATAGCTCAGTGGGCAAGTGCTTGCCATCCAAGCATGAGTTCAGAGCCTCCTAGTGTGGGTCCTGGGCACCCAGCCTGGTTCCTCTGCAAGAGCGGTGAGTGCACTCTAGCAGCTGAGTGGTCATGCTAGCGCTGTAAGCGATCCCTTTTTACTTACAATAACTAGGAACTTTCCGAGGAGTTCTCTTGGGAGCACATCTTGGGAAATACTAATTTTATCATATGTGGTCAGTTTTTCCTTGACACAGGAATGGATCTCAAGGCTTGTCTGGAATTCACCATCCTTCTATACCGGCTGAGTGCTGGGATGAGAGGCATGTTGTCCTAAAGCCTGGCTTATGCCCAATTATTGATAAAGACATTGGAATGCAAAGTGGCGGAGGGCCTTGGGTGACCCTCAATGGACCAGCGAGACTAAAGTTCAAGTCCTGGCAAGGAATCTTTCTGCACCAGCTGCTGAGGAGGCTCCTTCCCATTGTAGACTCAGTCGGAGGGATGGGGGAACAGACAGGGGACAGACGGACATGTATTGGACCCATGATGAAGGTTTCAAAAACACCGGCAGTCTCTACATCGGCAAAATGTATCTTCAAGGACAACTGGGCAGCAGTTGCTGAGAACAGTGAGAGCCAGACTGAGTCCTGGAAGGATTTCTGAAAGAAAGTAGTGTGGAGAGAGATTTTGAGAAACTGGTTCACTTGGAAAGAGAAAAAAAAATTCAGTGTCAAAGTGTCTACATAAGTGAGGGTCATGAAAAAAATGTCAAATGTAAAAACCTTACTTCATCCATTTAGAATGGTTCTTAACCTGGCATTAGAACTTTCCTCTTGGCTTTCCCAACACCTGTATCTCTTGTCTCTAGACACACTCATGAATATGTTCAATTAACCATGGCTCACCATGGCATGCCTTGTTCTAACATGAGGCATTTAGCGTTCAAATGCACTAGAAGAACAGCAAGAAAGAGAAGTCCACGCGTAAGTCCCAGCTCTGGGATTTGGGGTCCTTCCTTTGTTTTTCTGGGATCTGGGTGTTGGTTTTCTCAGTTGGCAAGGAAACAATTACCGCCGAAAGTGAGTCTTGGGCCTCAGACTCCCCGGAGCTAACTGGAAGCTCATACTTTGTCACGTGGAAAACTTGCAGGAACAGAATTTCTAGGGACCTGTGATTTAGAAATTAGTCCTAAAATGACATTCTGTTCAATAGGGTTTGTGCATGAGGGAACAAGTGTGCGTGTGTGCATACGTTTACGTGTGTGTGTGTGTGTGTGTGTGTATGTGTGTGTGTGTGTGTGTGTGTCACAATTAATAAAAACCCAGAGACAGAAATGTTCATCCTGAAGGTCAGAAAAGCAAAACACTCAGCCATTGGCTTTTACCTCACCTAAGTCCGAAGTGGCGATTCTGCCTCCATGAATCTCAGAATGAGACTGTGTGTAAGAGCTGTCTCCTCCCATTTTATATTCCCCTCTAGGGCTGGGACTAAAGGTGTGCACCACTGCTGCCATGATTCTCTGACAGACTAGTGTGACTAATGGGATTAAAGTTGTGAGCCACCACTGCCCGGTCTGTAAGGCTGATCAGTGCGGCTGATTTGCTCTCTGAACTTCATGCAAGCTTTATTTGTTAAGATACAAATGGAATATCACTACGTGTGTGTGTGTGTGTGTGTGTGTGTGTGTGTGTGTGTGTGTGTGTAGTCAGAGAACAACTTACGGGAATTAGTTCTCTCCTCCCACCATGTGGGATTCTGGGGACTGAATGAAGTTTGTCAGATCTAGCAGCGAACCCCTGTAGTTGGTTTGTTTTCTGGGGCAGCACCCTTCTCTGGCCCAAGCTAGCTTCAAACTCACTAAGTAGTTGAGGATAGCCTTGAATTTCTCCTCCTGATGCTCGGAATGCAGGTAACTCTTGCCGCACCCAGTGTATGGAGTGCTAGGAATTAAAGCCAGGACTCCATGCACGCTAAGCAAGCATTCTCCCAGCTGAGCTGCAGCCCCAACGCACTACACTGAGAGACCTCTTGATGGTCCCGAGTCCTAGCTCTGCTAAGGCCTGCTGACTCAGTGGCTTGGATGCAGCCAACCCCACATCATCTTTATTCCTGCCATGCCATTGGGAACACTCCAAGGACAAGGAATGAGTCACTTCAGGCATCCAAGTGGGAACATTCTTTCCGTTGAAAGGGGTAGAGAAGGAGGAAGGGTGGTCCTCCAGCATCCCTTGTATTACACTCAGACTGGGTTACAAGTTGTCACCTGTGGGACTGCCCACCCCTAAAGAATTGGAGGGGAGACCTCCACCTCCTTTCCCCACACCCGTGACTTTAGGGTCCTTGGGATCCTTGTGGGAATCTGAAGATTGGGATTGTGGTTCAGGCCCCACCATAGGCTGACTGTGTGACCTTGGACTCCTGAGAAATCTCTCTGGAGTTTCACTTTCCCCCCTTGTAAATTGAAAGTACTCATGTAGGCCTTGGCTCTTAAACCCAGTCCAACCAGATGAGACATTGCATAGGATTGCTTCCCTGGCTTTTTCAAGGGTAAGTGCTGCTGAGACCGGAGATCTTAAGCAGGGTGGCTCGAGACTTTCCCTCCCGTTTCCAAACCAGCATTTGATCGGAGCCAGTCACTCGCTTCCGTTCAAAGAAAAAGGAGACTCTGAGTGACTCCACACAGTCTGAAATAATGAATCAACAAACGAAACAAAGAATGTGCGCTGCGTAGGGCAAGCTGGGGCAGAGGCCTGGCACAACGGTCCAGATCCATCAGACCCACAGGACCCGATCTGGGTGGGAGTTAGCTGGAAAACTGCCTCCGCTGCTCACTTCATGTGCAGGGCTTCTCAATGAACCATTGTTACAAACGTCTCTGGAAGAACACAAAACAAAACAAAAAAACCTTCATCCTGTCACCGCGCTGGGGAATTTTGACTGTCCACAGACTCAGAAGTGTAGAAAGAATTTACTTATTTCTTTTTAATACACAAAGTCCACCATAGTAAGCCAATTAAAGGAAGGTAACACTTCTCTCTAAGAAAAATGAAACTGGTTATGAAGCCAAATCTGTCTTAAGTCTCCATCTGGTGTTAGCTCCTGCCCTGTACTGATGCATCTTCAGGACTGGGTTGTGCAGTCCATCTACTGAACTTCTGGGAAGATGACAGGGAGACCCAGGGGTGCTTTCAAAATCTGCTCTAAGACCTTGTTAGGAAGAAGAAGGGCTGGGTTCGAAGGTCACACTGGAATGTAGGTATCAAAGGGAGAAACAAAACGGCCTCCCATCCATGATTTGTGCAGAGACAGAGTAAGACGTTGGAAGTTTTTTTTTTAATATTTATTTATTTATTATGTATACAATATTCTGTCTACATGTATGCCTGCAGGCCAGAAGAGGGCACCAGACCTCATTACAGATGGTTGTGAGCCACCATGTGGTTGCTGGGAATTGAACTCAGGACCTTTGGAAGAGCAGGCAATGCTCTTAACCGCTGAGCCATCTTTCCAGCCCCCATGGAAAGTTTTTGATTAAGGTTTTACCATGAGACGAGCAGAGCCCAGGGGACCTGATGGGACCACTAATGATCTTTCCACACCCATCTACAAAGACCAGAAAGGAGACTCAGCCTTACCTTGAGCTACAGTAGGTTCTCTCTGCCCCTGACAAGGCCCTGACTAGTATAGGAGCCCAGTGTCCCAAGCATGCTTATTTTTCTACTCTGATTTTGTCTCTGTGGGAATAAGCTCCTGGAGGCTTTATTCAGCTGGAATGACATCTCCATAGTGAACTGGGGACCCCTCTTTCATGCTGCTCCCTGCCTGGGGTTTCATGGACACGAGGTCCCCAGGGTTCTTTTGGTGAACGGTGCCTCACCATGCAGTCCTGACAGTCACTTCTCCTCACAAGGCTACTTCTCCTGTGAGGGTCTGGGCTGTGCAGAGGATGGGGGTACAAGAGACAGCTTCTTCCTGCAGATAAGTGAAGAAGGAACCCTGCCACCACAGGTTCCTGAAGGAAAGCCAAGAGGAGGAACTGTCAGTATCTGGTGCAAAGAGGATGTCCCCAAATGCTTCCTTGTTCCAAACTGTTGCTCTGTAGGTAAGGGGTCGGGGGACTTTTCATACCACCCATGGGTAGCTGTGATGACCAGGTCAGGAGAATGCATTGCAGACCAACAGTGGCATTTCCTTTGGTGAGAAACAAAAGGAAAAAGAAAATGTGAAGATTTCAGTGTCAAAGGACAGTACTTCTCTGAAGAAGGGGGGGGGGGGGGGGGGCGGGGATGGGATTCAGCAATGAAGCAAGCCCTCATCCACCAAGCATGAGGTCGGGTGCAGCCCCAGAATGAGAAAGAAGAGAGGATATATGGTTTTGGACTTGATCTGACTAGGATGATGGGGAATGAAGAAATGGCAGACACAAGTAACATAAAGCTGGGATCAGGTAGGGAGTCCCAGCCCACTTGGATGGAGACTCTCCCGTAGCAGCCTGGAATTGGATTTATTATATTCAGCATGAAGGGGAAGTCGGGCTAGCTGATCTTAGCAAGGAGTGGGTGTCTCTGTAAGGGAACTCTCAAGCTGCACTTAGCAGGGATGAGGAAGCGGTGGTCAGTACTTTCTGCACGGGCTCATTTTAGCTAAAGGTCAACTGTTTGCTAACATCTGGATTTGGACCAAGGGAAGGCCATGCCATTCCTTAGAGCCTGACCTAGGGAGGGCCTTGCCCCTCCTCCGGATCTGAGACACTGGTGTCCTTGGCATGGCTGTGCTCACGTCAACAGTACACACCCTATTGGGACTTTATTCATTCACCACAAGTGAGTAGGGGGAGAAGGAGGAGCAGGACGTGTAGAGAGGATGCAGAGGAGAGGAGAGGAGGGGAG